GACAACCAGTTCCTGGACCTGTTTGCTGCAGCGCTTGTCAGGAGAGCCTGCTCCAGCAGACGGCGAATCTTTGGAAGCTTTGGATTCGGACGCCTGCTTTAGAGCAGAGAGAGCAACCGGCGGTTTACCGCCGGTGGAGGGGTGAGACTCGGAGTTGCTGGCAGATGGCTTGTGAGCCAGAGTCTTCCGGGAGCGCTTGGGGGAGTCGGAGCCGCCTCTTCCGCAGTCCGTTTGGGGGGTTTGAGGTTCACCCCAGGGACGACTAGAGGCTTCACTGAGCCTTCCTGTACAATGATTCACAAGTTAGTAAAATTAAGGATAAGGTAATGAGAAAAGGCCGGATGAAAGGACTCACATGTTCAAGCTGCTCCCGCTTAAAGATCTGATTTTTCTTGTTCATCATCTGGCGGTAGGCGGAGGCGGTGCCGCTTGGCTTCTTGTTTGGGGTAAGCTGAGACATTGCTTCTTCTGCAAAAAGGCCGGATGGGTGGTTAGAAAACAACAATAAAAATCTTTGTCTATAAGTAAAGCATGCATGATATAACCCCCATCCGTCTACCCACCTTTTCCCCCTCTACCGCCTGCACTTCCACCTTGAACAACCCAGGGTTAAGGATTTGATCCCAACCTTCTTCAGAAACAGGCGGTAGAAGGGCTTTTTGGCCTAAGAGGTAAGGGTTCTGGTTCCAAGAATTGAACTTGGCATTCCGGCTGGTGTATGGGTAAGTGATTATGTAGAATTTGTTCCTCCAGTCCTTCCACTTGGACTCCTTCCCAAGTGTCATCATGTACCCCTTATTACTAGTAAGGGTATACCAGTCGGGGCCAGCTGACTGAGGGGCTTTGCTCAAGTAGTGCATAGAAGCAAACGCCTCAAAGCCAGGTTCAATGTTCTGCATCCTGCAGGCGGCTACATACCCCAGGATGTTCACCCATGAATTTGGGGTGAGTTGCCACACCCCCAGGCGGTACCCGTCTAGGATCGCCTCAATGATCGGATCCAAGGGAAACCTCAGGCCCGCCTGTATCACTGCGGCATAGCAGCCGAATGTAGTGTTCCTATAGCTTTGGTTAAGGGGCCAGACTACAGCATCCGTCAAAGCTGGCACTTCGACTTCATATCCGGCCCCCATGACATAAGAGTCCCTAAAGTCATTCAACCCCTTCAGAATTAATTTCTGGGTGGAAAGGGAAATGTGTGTGAAGTAAGGGGTGTATTCATCTTGAAGGGAAGAGGACGCCTCACCTTGACCCCTTGCAGGGGAAGCGGGCTCCTCATCAGGTTTGTCAGACGGCTCCTGTTCAGTTTTGGAGCTGCATGAGTTAGAGGTTGAGGTTGTGAGGGAGAAAGAGTGGGAAGACCCCTGGTCAAATTCGGTTTCTTGCTGACCATCCGGCATGTCCAGAATTGAGTCTTCCGGAGTGCTTGGGGTGCTTGGTTTATCATAATACACCTCGCTCCGAGGCACCCTAATGGAACCATCCCCCTCTTCAGTTCTAGCTGTACGTTTGGTTCTATCCATGGTGTCCTGCACAGACACAGAGACGGTTGGATTGGGGGACGGATGAAGAGTGGGGCAAACGGCACCCCTAGTCCTAGATTCAGCCGTCTCAGGTGACCGGCTGACAGCTATCCTAGGCCGTGCCGAATGTGTTTGTGAAACCATTTTATGAAAGCAAAGGAAAAACAAACACAGGCGGAAATTTTAAAAGTTTAAACCGAAGAGAACCAGATGGTTACCTTGAGAAAGGTACGGTTGACTTGAAATAAGCCGGTTGGTGCAAACTGACAGTAACAAGCGGCAGAGTACACAATTTTTTGTGAAAATTCTCTAGAAAAACTCTCAAATTTCACGCAAAGATGTGTGAAATGAGGGTCAAACAATTACTTTTATAAAGGGGTAATTCCGGGGCACCTCGGTAATCCCTCAGAGGGAGAACAGTAAAATTTTTACTTCACTAAATGAGACGCTAACGTGTGTCACAGACGCCCCGTGGCGCGCCACGTCACCTCTATGACAGGGGCAAATGTTTTGGGTAAAATTACCCTGCCATGTGGCGGCCTGAGAACAAGACACGTGTCTGCCCAGCATTAGGACACTTGTCCGCCCAGCATTGGTCTAAACAAGACTAACCAAATACTGACACGTGGACCCCACTGTCATGTCATGGAATGGCAGCTTTCAGGCCTAATTCCCCATAACTTGTCATAGCCCACAAAATCTAGGTCACATGACCTAGAATAAGGACACATTTTCCCATGACCCTATAAATAGGGAGAGATTCCCCATTATGGGGAGGATTTTTGGAATCATTTTATTACATCACCTGCATTTCTCTCACATCAGAGAAAGCACCTGATCTCGGGATCTGTAAAGATCTCATCTTTATCTTTTTCCGCACTTTTTACTCACTCCTACACATTCTAACTTGATCGTCGGAGGCGGAACTCCAACCCACAGGAGTCTCCGTTGTTTTGCAGGTACAGGCCGCACCGGACCAATCTTCGAGTTGTAACTCTCCCAAGGGACTAAAAACACCCAAAACAATTCCCTACAGCTTGTTATTTCAATCACATTTTATATTAAGTACTCCTACTTGATCACTTATCCAAATAAAGCAAGTAGCAAAGTAATTTTTGTTTTGTTTAGTAGCTACTTGTTTATCAACAAGTCTCAATTTATCCCCATTTTGTTTATGATTAGGTAAATCAATTGTTTATGATTTCATTAGGTTGGCAATCGTATTTATGATTTCATTATGTCTAGTATCACTAATTGAATTGCTATCCCCACAAACGACACATTTGTTCAAATCAAACGACAACTTTAAAATCCCTAAATTGAACCAATGAGCTAATGGTGTGTTCAACTAAAACCCTAAATTTAACAAAACTGAGCCAATGCAACTAAAACCCTAAATTGAACTAAATTGAGCTAATGGTCCTTCTACATCAAACACAGCTTCATCAACGCTAAATTAAACTGAATTGAGCTCTACATTTAAAACCCTAAATTCATGCCCAACTTAGTCTAACAACCAATTTATCCCAACTTCACAAACCCTAAATTGAACTAATGGTCTTCAAAAACCTTAAACATGATCTACACAATTAACAAGATAGTGTCGTTTTTTTACTCCACATTTTCTTTCTGATTTGTAAATACAAAAACATGCAATATAAATGACATATTTAGAACGGCATATATTGCAATACTCCTTCTGTTTCTAAGTGTTTAGAACATCATATATCTCAAAACCACCAACATCGGTCAAATTTTGTTAACTTTGACTTTGACTTTATTGAACCCACTTGGACAAAAGTCTAGATCCGCCACTACTGTCACACCCCATAATCCTAAAAATAGATGTACATCACTTTATTATAAACACATACAAGCTTTTAAGACATTCAATTTGGATAAGTAGGAGTACTTAATATCAAATGTGATTGAAATAACAAGCACATTCAATACAAACATGTTATGTGTTATTGAAATAACAAGCATGTTGACCACAATTCAAAATTCAATACATATATGTTCTATGTAATTGAAATAACAAGCACATAGATACTTTTAAGACCTTTCTCCCTTTTAGCTACACTCTATGCAAAATTGCAAATTGACTAAAAACTTGTAAAGTAGTGGAAACGTTGTCTTGTTAAAATTAAACTTGCTATGTTGTATGAAATCAAGACCAACTTGTTACTATTTTTTTCGGATTATGAGGTTGATTATATTATTCTTGGTATGTGTAGGTTTTCTTTGTGTTGAATTCTTGTTACAATGACAAAGAGTGACATGAACTACTCTAAAACCCCCAAATCCAAACAACTAAGTTGCAAAACCAAACCCAAATAAATAAGTGCAGATTATCAATCCCAAGTGACAAATAAGCTACTAACTAAGTCGCAAAACAAATAAGTTCAGATTATTAAATACCAATAAGTTGTAAACCAAACCAAACACATAACTTATAACTAGTCACATGAACTATTCCAAAAACAAAACCCAAACAAATAAGTTTAGATTTTCAAGGTTCATACTAGAAATAATTGAAATATCTATTCCAAAACCAAACCCAAACAAATAAGTTGCAAATTCTATAACCCTAGAAATAAACCTAAAATTATTAACATGATATCATCTAGAAACCCTAAAAATTGAAACCTAAAAATAATGAACATAATATTATCTAGTAACCCTAGAAATTTTGTATTAATTAACAATATTCAATACAACAAACACTCAACTTAGTATGTTAATCCTAATTACAAAATTCTCATTACGATAAAATCCCATTAAAGAAAGCCTAGAAAATAACAAAAACACTAATTAATATTACAGCGTAGTACCTGAAATTGTTGATCTTTGTTGAGTTTAGTAAAGAATTCCAAAAAATTCAATTCAGAAACCCTAAAAATTCAGTTTAATGCATTAATAAATTAAATTGAAAAGAACAAAATCACTTATTAAATATCAAACACTACTAAAAAAAAATCAGTATGTTTACCAGATTTTTTTTGTCGTTTTCGAGTTTACCAAATTTTACTAACTTAGTTGAGTTATTTCTTCATCATTCTTTGTTTTTTTTGCTTGTAGTTTTGGTTGAAAGATGGAAGCTTTAGCTTTCTCTCTCTTCCTTTTCTATCAATTTTGGGAAAGTGGTGACCTCAACAGCAATCAGCAGTATTTTGGCAAAAAAATTCCCGCCAAACACATACCCCATTCCTGTTTTTGCAACCAAACGGAAGTATTTGTTTTTTTTTCCTTTATTTTTAATTCGAGATATTATTATTTTATAAGTGCGCTGGTCCAATTAGACCCTCTCCAATTTTGTCCAAGACTTCCTCCTCATGTGTATCCTTTCTGAAGCATATACCTAATTTACATATTCAGGAACTGGATATAAATTAATTTACGATTCATTTTCAATAGCAATTACGTAAAGTTTAAGCAAAACCAAAGTAAAAGCAAAAACCAAATAGATACCAGATAGGAAATTAATTAGCAGAGACTGCGGAGTAATCTTTACTCTTGTTTGCTGAAAAATGTTTTTTTTTCTTTTTCCTTTTTTTATTTATTACAACCAAACAGTACATCATCTTTTACAATTTTAATAATGTACAGTGGGCACATCCTAGCATTTGCGTACCACATACTGCTCTCAAGGGGTTTATCATGGACTGTCCCGAAATGCAACAAAATTGATATTTGCTAAGAAATACAAAGTTGCATTTACATTCATATTTACAATTTGGGAACGTCAAACTGATACTGGGACTCATATTTCACTTTCTCGGTACAGCTACCCCCAATCGAAGTCATCCTCTTCGAATCATACGTTGCAGAGGTCAAGGAACAGCCACCATCTTGTGACAATTACCCAATTTTGATAATCAATCATTTCTTTAATTAACGAGCAGGATTATCTAAACGGAAATCAAATTATGATTCCACGTTTCAAGTCAATCCTGAAGATGATCTTCGCCATTGCTTCTTTTTTTGGTTTAATTTGAATGGACTCCAGGTCTTTCGCCGTTTTGAAGTCTCACAAAAAAGACCAGATGCCAGAGCCTGTTGAAGCCACAGATCAAACTCTTCTTCATCTTCATCCATCATTTCTGCATCCAAACCCCATGGGAATCTACTCGAGTTTGAACGAGTTGTCTTCTCCAAACCAACCATGTTTACATGGAAACTCGGTCGATGGGTATTGGGTCTACAAGCCATTCCCTGAAAAACTTCTATCGGTTAGAGAATGACCACATTAATCGACTTCACTACCACATCTAATTGGACTTGGTTATGAAATTACAATCAGCAATACTCCTATCATGAATTTAAACAGATGACAAGCAATTCAAGGACAAATTAGCAGCATCTATTTGTTTCACTGTACCAGATCCAAATGACAGGTGCACCACTACCAGAGAGACGGATCACATATATCAATGGCTTTTACTCACAGTTTCTAACTTCTGCTAGAGCCATATAACCCGACAGTTTGGTAAGTGCAAAGGATCTATTTACTTGACAAAAGTCCTTCAATTCGTCTGTTAAATATTACACTCAAACAAATTTTGCCTTTTGTCACATGCATTCCTATTTTTCTCTTTGTCTTACACTCACAAACAAATTTTGCCAAGAAGCCCGTGCACCCTTCAAAGTTGCAAAAAATGTGAACAAAGGTAGTACCTAATTTACATATTCAGAAACTGGATATTAATTGATTTATGATTCATTTTCAATAGCAGTTATGTAAAGTTTAAGCAAAACCAAAAGTAAAAGCAAATACCAAATGTGATAGACTGATAGATACCAGATAGACTGCAGAGTAATCTTTACTCTTGTTTTCTGAAAAACTGAAGGATTTATTTACTTGACAAAAGTCCTTCAATTTGTCTGTTAAATATTATCTCTGGCATCAATGATGCAAAATTTGATAAAAGAAAAAAGCAATATTTTGGAGGAAATCAGAAAGTCAAAGGCTATAATATCAAAACTAAAACATGTTGAATAAAATCATGATTCTAATCAAATAATTATACATAAAATAAAGGGAAAATGGAAATAAATAATCCCACCTTTGCGTGGTCTGACATTAACAATCCCACCTTTTGATTATTACGAGGCAATCCCACCTTGGTATGTGATCTTCTTCTAATAGACCTTAACCTCTTGGTGACTTATTTTTGTAGGTTATCAATTTTTAATAGGTTCATTTTATTTTTTGAATGATAAAAAAAGAAAAAAAAAAACAATAAATAAAACAAAAATACAGAAAACAAAATTTAAAAAAAAAAAAAAAGAAAAAAAACCCCTGCCACCAACTAAAAACCCTAGCCACCGTGAACTCCAGCCCCTACCCTAGCTACCATCAAACACCGGCCGGCCGCCCTCCTTTACCTCCGAAACGGCCGGTCGACACCTACCCATCATGTAAACGGTGGAAATTGCGCAGTAGGGTCGGGTTTTTAGGGTGTTTTAAGCGGCTTTTTCGGGCTTAGATGGGGACATTCGGGATGATTAGGGAGGTTGGGTGGGGTTTTCCGGGGCTGAGAGGTAGGTTTCGGGGGTTTTCCGGGGCTGAGAGGTAGGTTTCGGAGGTTTTTCGGCGGCTAGGTGGGGTTTTTAGGGTGGTGGCTGTTGTGGTTAAGGTGATTCCGGGGGTGGGATTTGGGCCCAGGGTGGTTTCGGGGGTGGCTTTAGGTCGGCAAAGATGATTTTGGTATTTGAGGGTTCCGGCCGGCAGTTTTCTGGGGTTTAGGGTTGCGGTCGTCTGGTTTTTGGTGGGGCTAGGGTAAGTGTTAGAAATTCACGGTGGGCGGTGGCTGGTGGTTGATGACTTTTTTTCTTTTTTTACTTATTTTGTTTTGTTTTAACTTTTTTTTTTTTTAATTTCGACCAATTATTGAGTGACACGTGGCTTTAAAAAACTAAAAAAAAAAATTAACTTGTTTAACAGGTTGTAGGTCAAAAGGTCTATTAAAAGAAAATCACATACCAAGGTGGGATTGCCTCGTAATAATCAAAAGGTGGGATTGTTATTGTCAGACCACGCAAAGGTGGGATTATTTATTTCCATTTTAAAATAAAAAAGGGAAATATGTTCAGTTAGTCAGTAAAAAGATATGTAGCAATAAACCACTGCCTAGTAGCGTTAATTTACATCCTTATTCATGAAAGACACTGTTTTAAACTAGACTTTATATCCCTTAGTCATCTCGATAACTCAAAATGGAACCGGTGAAGAGAAAGGAAATCCACAAGGACAACAGCCGCATCACTTCATAAAGACATAGGCTGGATGGCCCAACTAGCTTAAATCCTTAATCTGAATCATCGACATTGATTTACAATTAATACCAATTGATGGATTTAACTTGTCACCTAGCAAATTCAAGTAAATCTTTTGCTTGAATGAAGATACTAAATTTGTCATGAAAGGGCGGGGAAAACTGATTGTGTGTCAATGAAGGCCAATCCCTCCATAATGCTGCATATAGCAACTCATTAAGGGGGAAAAAATAATAAATAAATAAACTGAAGGCCTGTCTGCTAAATGTCATCTCCTCAATAATGTAGCACAATCAAAGCAACTGCCATCCAGATGAACTATAGCAGGCTTCTCAAGAGCTTAATTATTAGTTAATCTTCAGATATAAGGGAAATTAGTAAATCATCATGGAATACTACAACCCTCAGATATTTGATATGGTTGTAATACACAACCATAATTGTATCTTTAACTTATATCAGTGATGCAAAATCAATAGCTTAGACTACTTACCTAATATGGTTTATACTTAATAGTAATGGATGAAGATACAAACCGAGTCCTATGATGATTCTGCTCATTTATTAGGTCCGCGAACAGGGGTTATACTTTTTTAACAGTAAATATTGAAATGCTGCTTCCTCCAAACTAAAAGCAGAAAAAAGTTGTGCAATAAAGCAGCCTTGAGAAAGATTTAACAGCAGATAAATTGGATGTAAGAGCAGCCTCCAAAATAAAACCTAGTAATGTAAACTTCATAACTAGCTGCATAAAAAAGGGTACAAATGTAAAGTGGGTAAATATACCTGACAGATAGCCCATTCTGAAACATCAAATATCTTACTTTCAGCACAAACAAAGGCACGAGGAATTTCCATCTGTCAGCAGATAAAATAGTTGTCAGCAAATACAATTAACGACACAAACATCAAACACACTCACAAAATTGCAAATTTACATGTACCAAATAATATAAATAAATAAATAGACAAATACAATGTGACCAGACAAATATACGGCCAGTTACATGATTAGTCATAATGAATGTTAAAACATTTTAAGGAAATGCTTGTGATTTACAGAGCAGAATACAGGACACCAGATTCATAAAAAGTATGTATGTATGCAACAGTAGCCTTATTGTTATCAGTTACCTACTCACCCCGAGTTTATTCATATATCTAACCAACATCCCCTCAATTTAATAACCAGAAAGATGATAAAACAAAGACTAATCTTAAGGTAAAAAGGTCTTCCTCCGACTCACAAAAAACTTCTCATCTAGTCATCTCTCTTATTGTTTGTCCCACAAAAACTCCCCATTTTTCGCTTGACTTAGTGAATATGATATAAAAACATTACACCCACTAAATAATATTATTACTCACTTACTTAGAAAATCCCACCACCAAAAATAATAACAATAATAATAATAATAACAATAATAATAACAATAATAACAATAATAACAATAACAATAATAACAATAACAATAATAATAATAATAATAATAAAGAAAAAAAAAAGATAATCATATCTTTACTATTTTCATCCGAGGAAGTACAAGTTCATTGTTCAAAAGCTTGGTTTTCAGACCCCTTACAGGACTTAAAACACTTTAGTACTGATGGCTTTTAATTTATTTTTATATATTATGGTTTTCAATATTATAATTCATCTTTTCTCATACATAAGCATAGATTGTTTATCATACCCGTTAACATCCTTTCTCTTCATAGATTATGGGTGGCTGGATACAAAATTGAAACTGCCGAGAACAATCCAAAATAGCTTTAGAGTGTTTTTTCCAACTTATCTTTCTTTCCATTACAGACAATTATTATATTTCAAGCTCCGCCACATCTATCTGGAAAGCAATGAATTAAGAATGGGCAACAATTTCTTGAAAAAAAAATAAATAAATAAATAAAACAAAATGTCAAAAAATGCCAACTATAAAATGTAATAAGCTCAAGACCCAGTAAGTAATCCCTCTGGGTCAATGATGGCTGCATTTAACTGATTTAGTCACCAGACAGCAGACACTAATTGATATTGTTATACTAAATTAATTCCTAAAATACAATATTTCTTAGGTTCTATCACCATGCATATTTGCCCATTCCTTGTTAGGCGATTACGTTCAGCATACACCCATGATTAGAGATATGAATTCAAATATCCTTTAATCATCAATCATTTAATTTTGTGTACGTCTATATTGGAGTTGGTAGCCAGATAACATCAGTAATGCCATAACAAGATATGATGCGATTACACTAATAAGAGTATTGTGCATTTCCAGGCTTCTTTTTATCCTTCTTGGATAATGTTGATTGATGGTACACTATTACTGAGTTTGGTTGCTTTGGACTTAAATTCTCTGCAGTTTTATTCTTAAAGGTTTAAGACTTTATTTAGTTCTCCTACTCTTTCTAAGCCCACAGATCAGCGGGACAATGTAAAGTCTTACACTTTTTAAGTTTCAGCTATTCAAATGATAGCTTTGTGCAATTGTGCTTTTGATAAAATGGTGGTTTTTACTTAAATAACAAGAAAAATTCCCCAACAAAGTTTTGCAATTCTTTTGTCACTTTTCATTTAGAGAGTGAATATAAACATCATTCCTATGCTTTTAGTGAGTGAAACATTTTAATTCTACTCCAATAACAATTTACAAGTGAATGAAGCTTGTTGGAGGATAAACAGAGGTGGAAAGGTGAAGAGATTCCTGTAAAACCAGGTGAAAATCTTACATCTACCAATCACATTTTGGGTAATGTTACAGTTTTGTGGGCTTGTTTTTGTTCTTGCAACATTGGACTAGAGGAGTAACTACAATTCAAATAGCTCTGCCAGAATTCTAAGTAAAACCCTTGGATGAATGGAAAAAAATGGTCAGGTGAGCTGTATAGCAGCTTCTTCACTGTATTTTGGTAATTAAAAGAGAAAACAAATGTTAGCCAATGACTTTGTCCCCTGGAATTATTTCTGTTGGATTTGAAGGTCAATGCAATGACCGGAAAAGTAAGCCAAATATCAATAAAGCCAAATCTTTAACCTTAATAAAAGCCCCAAGCACCCTTACTGTATCACATTTTACTGTTCATTACCAATAGTGGATTTCCCTATTTGCCCTCTTCTCCTTGAACAGATATCCGATTTTCCAGGGTATATTTGTCTTTTTAGTTTTCACTCTTGCTCTGCTGTCCAGTTCCCCATTTCACTCCTTCCTGCTTTTGCTCCTATCCTCACATTTTTTATAGCTCTCCCCTCGATTGAAATGCACATTGTGAATCCTCCAATGGAGCTCTTTCTTAGCTACGTCTTTTCCTTTACAGTTAATTAAAATGAGTTTTTGGTTACTGCTAACTCGAAACAAGCTGCTTGGGTGTAGCTCTATTCGACCCATTTACACTTTCTCTACTGTTGAAGAATTCTGGAGGTTTCTCTTTTCATCTTTGTTTTTCATATTAATTTGATTGTGAAATTATTGAATTTGGTTTGTTTGAATCTTTTTTGTGATATGGGTGATTGAATTTCCACTGTTACTTCTTCGATTTCAATCTATTAAATTGATGAAATGTGGCTTGAATTTGATTTCATTTCGTCCATATTAGGTTTATTTAATCAATTAATATATGACTGAGTGATCAAATCCATGAAATTCTTTGTATTTGGTTTATTTTCTACAATTTTGATTTCTAGGGTTATTTTTCGAATATATTCTTTGCTTCATAAGATTAACCAGATATATAAAGGAAATCGAGTTTAGATGCATATTTGTTTATTTATAATTATTCTATTTATCTTTTTCTAAGTGCAACTTTAAATTTGGTTAAAGTGATCCAATAGGTATTTGTTTTAATCATTCTTTTGCAAATTTTCAATGATTAAATATAGTGATCATTGGCTATTTGATCACGTTCAAAGGAAGAAAATGAAAAATTTGTTAATTAAGTATAAAAATTTACTATAACAAATTAACAATAACAATCACAGATTTAATTGAACATTACAAGTATATATACAGTCGCAAATCTTGATTGTTTTTATTTCGCTTATCAAGGAGATTGACTGGCGAAGGTCAGGTTTCAGTTAGAAATATATAGGGACGTGTTCGAATTGAAAAACATGTCTTCTGACCCGTACAATGCACGGATTATTCATAAAAAATTACATTGAAAGATGAATTAGGAAATATCAATAAGCCACTATGGTTATATGTGTGTTCAAAAATATGATTAAAGAAATTTAATTTTTGGAACTGTAATTGAAATGGGGATTAAATAAGGGAGGGGTTAAAATTAAAGAGAGAAAAGGGTGGAGGGATTTAAATTAAAGAGAGAAAAGCAAAAGGTTGAATTGAAGAGGGGAGATGAAGATGAAATGTACATGGAAGATGAAGCATATAAGTTTAATGAAAGAATTAAAGAAATATAGTGTAATAAAAAATTAATTAATAATGTAAGAAGACATGTGGCATTTGGATTAGAGAAAAATATATTGAAGTGTTATAGGATGGAGACATGTGTTTTCCTTGGTTATAGTTTTTAAATACTAAGTATAGAGTATAGATAGATATAGATATCATACTTGTGTCCATGTAATGGTGTCTATGTGTTTGCTCTCTTCATTCACTTTCTCTTTCCTCAATTGATGAGTTCTTCTTCAACCGCTCTAGACCTTCTTTAATCGAATCAAAGCAAAGCAAGCATCAATCAATCATGCCTTCCACTAATTTACTCCTCAAAATACCAATTTGTATGGCTTCAATTCTTTTGTAAGTTTTTCCTCAATCTAAAATATCCAATTAATTGAATTGTTGGATTTTCATTTGTTCATCCGAATCTCTTTTCCATTATCAATCTAAAATATCAAATTAATTGAATTATGTTGCAGCTTCGAAACTCAAAATTTGTATGTGACCAACTATTCTGCGAAAGATGTCGGTTTTCCGTTACAACAGACGATGCCGGAATTTGGGACACCATTCCAACCCGATGCTTTGATTAACCAGTGACCATTACATGTCGAACTCGGAAGTTGTCGCCGTAGATGAGTTGGAATCAGCGAGGTCCGCTAATGTTTTCGGCAATTAAAAGGATGCTTGGGTTTTTTATGTTGTTGAAACCCTTCTCTTTAATTTACCTTATTATTATGGGTGAGATTTTCTATATTTTTTGTAATTAAATTGATTGTTTAGTTTTATTTTAGTTTGATTAATTGGAATATGGTATAATTTGATTTCATGATTATTGTTGTTATATTGTCATTGATTTCTTAAATTTTTGGGAAGATAGCAGCTAAATTCTTGATCATCTCTTTACATGGATTGTTTATAGCTACATTGAATCTAGATTTTGTTGGATTATAGCTCAATGTGAAATTTTTTACATTTTTTGTTAGTTTGGGGAAGAATTACATTGAATTAGACTAAATTATGTTGGTTTTGGAGATTCGACCAACAATTTATATTGTCAGTTTAGTATATTTAGGGTTCTGTATAATTCATCGAGGTTGAAGATTAAGCCGAATTTGACATTGTCGATGAGGACAGAACCAGTGAGGGAGAGTTTAAGTGGGATGACATTGTTAAAGAAGCCTAACATGAGTGAAGTGAATGAGGACGGCGGTACAAATGAAAATGGTTCAAGAGATGGATCAGTGTACGGTTGACTACTGAACAAACCAGCAAACAAATTTGAGTCTAATATGGATCGTGAAGGTCAAAGCTTGACTGGGTTTGGTGAAGAAATGCTGTTGGAGAAACCCCAAGCCATGGTGCCCGGGTACTGAAGGGATTGGAAGCAATTCTATGCCTAATGGAATGGATGATATGCTAGAGGATTATACTGAGATGTTTCTAGAATTTGGA